GTGCGGGCGCTCGCCCGTGTGCGTGCGGCGGTGCCGCCGCAGGCTGGACGAGTTCGGGAAGGCCTTGGGGCAGGCGGGGCAGCGGTAGGGCCGCTCGCCCGAGTGCTGCCGCAGGTGGTACTGGTAATGCGACGCCCACTTGAAGGCGAGGCCGCACTGGGCGCACCTGAAGGCGCGCAGCCCGGTGTGCACGCGCAGGTGAGCCCGCAGCAGCGAGGAGCGCTTGAAGGCCTTGCCGCAGGTGCCGCAGGCGTGGGGCCGCTCGCCCGTGTGGCCCCGCAGGTGGTAGAGGAGGGCGGAGGAGCCCTTGAAGGCCTTGGGGCACTCGGGGCACCTGTAGGGCCGCTCGCCCGTGTGGCTGCGCAGGTGATGCGCCAGGCGCGAGGACCAGCGGAACGACTTGCCGCACTCCCGGCAGGTGAAGGGATGCTCGGGGGCGCCCGCGGGGGGCGCCGCGCCCGCCATGGCCGCACCTGAGGGGACACGGCCGCAGGTGAGAGCCTGCACCTGAGGGGGACACGGCCGCAGGTGAGAGCCCGCACCTGAGCTCACAGCCTGACTCAGGGGAGAGCCCAGACCCGAAACACAGCGGGCAGGTGACAGCCCAAACCTGGCACAGGTGAGAGCCCAGACCTGGCACAGGTGAGAGCCCAGTCCTGGCACAGGTGAGAGCCCAGACCTGGCACAGGTGACAGCCCAAACCTGGGACAGGTGACAGCCCAAACCTGGCACAGGTCAGAGCCCAGACCCAAAACATGGGGCCAGGTGAGACCCCAGCCCAACACTGGGGGGGACAGGTGGGACCCCAAACCCACCCCAGGTGTGCAGGTGGAACCCCAAACCCCACCCCAGGTGTTCAGGTGAGACCCCAAACCCCACCCCAGGTGTGCAGGTGAGATCCCAAACCCCACCCCAGGTGTGCAGGTGAGACCCCAAACCCCATCCAGGTGTGCAGGTGAGATCCCAAACCCCACCCCAGGTGTGCAGGTGAGACCCCAAACCCCATCCAGGTGTGCAGGTGGGACCCCAAACCCCACCCCAGGTGTGCAGGGGAGACCCCAAACCCACCCCAGGGGGCGTGGCCGAACAGGGGGCGTGGCTTGGCCGCACTAAGCCCCGCCCCTCCGTTGAGGCCCCGCCCCTTTTCTCAGCCCCTCTGGCCCCGCCCCCTCCCGGCCCGTCCCGCGCAGGCGCCGCCGCCGCGGCCCCGCCGCTTCCTCCTCCTCCTCCTCCTCCTCCTCCTCCTCCTCCTCCTCCTCCTCCTCGTCCTGCCCCGCTCCTCGCTCACCTGCCGGGCTCGCGGGGGCTCCGCCGGGGCCGGAAGCGGGAGAAAACCGGGCCAGAAGCGGGGTAGAACCGGGCCGGATCCGGGCCCGGCGCCGCGCAGCGCCCGGGCCGCGCCGCCTCGCGAGGCCACGCCCCCTCCGCCCCACCGGGCCACGCCCCCTCCGCGGTCCCGCCTTCGCCGCCGCCAATCAGGGCGCGAGGCATCGGGGCAGGCCACGCCCACTCTCTCCCCCCGGAAGTGCGCGCGGTGCGCGCTGGGTAATGTAGTCCCGAGCCCGCCGCTGTTCTAGCGGCCCTTACTGGGTGGTACTGGTTTGTACTGGTTTGTACTGGGTTATACTGGTTTGTACTGGTTTGTACTGGGTTATACTGGTTTGTACTGGGCTGTACTGGTTTGTACTGGGTTTTACTGGGTTTACTGGTTTGTACTGGGTTACACTGGGTTATACTGGGTTGTATTGGTTTGTACTGGGTTATACTGAGTCGTATTGGTTTGTACTGGGTTTACTGGTTTGTACTGGGTTTTACTGGGTTTACTGGTTTGT